ATGTATATTATATATAAAAATGATAGCACTATATGAGTATTATATCAGACTCTCCATTAGGGCCTGCTGTTTGAAGAAAGAGAAAGCAGAGACCAAGTGCCAAGTTCCAGCATCTCATATTTCCACATTTTTCTAACATAACTCCTCTGCCTGGGTGTGGAGGTTGTTTGCCATATTTCACCTTGTTCCAGAAATAAATTAAAACAACTTACAAAGTCACATAAATTAAGACTCCAAGTAAAATAAGCAATAACTAAGGGTGTGTATGAAAAATAGAGCCAGGAATGATGTAAAAATGCGCATCACAGACTTATATACTTGGTGTAGTTGGGGGTGGATTTGGCTCTAGTTTTCTAGCAATATGAAGAGAAAGAGAAACCTGGTTAGAATGCTAAAAAAATAAATTGTCAGAACAGTTTTATGCAGAAAGTACAGTGAGAGGATTTCTCTGAGTTTTTCTAATAAAGAGAATGTTTTGTTTCAATAAACAACATGTAGCAAAATGGTTACTGTGCACAACGAGGGGTTCCATGTAGTCATTATGACAAAGCACTCTAATAAAGTAAGGTCTAACAAGCTCTTTTAAAGTGGTCCAGTGTTGTCAGATATGCTAAAGCCTGTGATTTGACTGTATGTGCATGTAGGCACTCATAGATGATGGATGCTGTCATGAGATACAAGACTCCTTAGGTCAAAGACAAAGGCCAGTGTATTATTCAGAGCAATAGCTATAGCTTGAATATTGACATTTTCATCACAACCGAGATTCACAGACCCTACGCAGCAACAACAAGAATGGGTGATAACTACATGTGCCATAAGTGGTATTACAAGACAGGAACAAATTTTTTGATGACGGGAAGTTACTGTTTATTCTATTTGATCCAGAAAGAGACATTACCTTTGTGACATATGAGTCAACAAATACAGCTCCATATTCAAAGCTATTTGAAGTATACTTGTTTTGAGGAGATAGTCTGGAACACAAGAAATGAGTGCCTCTGCTCAAGATATGCAGAAGCATGAGGATCCTTGGATAACTTTCTCACAGCTACATCCCAGAGCATATTCGAACACTCTCTGAATTAATCCAGGATCAATCTGCAGAGAATTTGCAGGAATGAGTGAGCTGCTTTGCTTATCAGATACAGGATGCATTCTCCTCCACAGAGAGGACAGTTGTAAACAAACAAGTGAGGTCCTACGTCCACAAAACTATAGAAGTATAATCACATTTGTTTTTCAAGTAGTTCTTTCAGAATGTTCTTTTGACAAGATTTTTCACAAATATTAGTGACAATAAATTTAATAGTCAATAATCCCACAAGTATTGGGAGTTTAGCATTTCTATATTTTCAAGCAAATAAAACACAGTGCCTAAGACAATCATTCTAAAATGGTTTGGATTGGCATTCTCTGTGGAAAACTGAGAAACTGAACAGATATACAAATTATTCCAAAGTCATCTCCAATGTGCCCCAACTTTTCCTTGAAAATACCTTAAAATCTTCCAATGATTGTGTGAGTAAAGCTCTGTAAGGTGTGCATAGTTCTACTGGAGGGTTTGTCCTTCTGTTTAGGGTGGGACTTTAATGACAGAAAGTTTTCTATTCATTGGGAAGGTGAAAGGTCCTTTGTGCCAGGCCCCTTTTCTGGAGCCTCTACTCCTCCCAAGTCTGAGATCTCTCATACCACCGTCATGTTCGCTGAATGCCTGTTTGTCCCGCTAGCTGAAGTAGTGCGACCATCTTTTCACGACAAAATAACCACAGGTTGGCCTTTATTTATTACTGTCTAGTCAGTTCCAAGCTACAAATAAAGACAGCTAAGGTGGGTCAGACTTCATCTACTGGCCAAGCAGAGTCTGATCCTTGAATTCCATTACCTAACTCTCACACCAGCTCTTCACACTGTTTTGAAGAGCTAACCTTTTCAATATTTCTACTGGGTTTGTTCTCCTAGAAAAATCTGTTGTTTCCTGCTAACACTGTGGCCTCACTGGCTTAACCTGATGATAAGGGCCTAAAGGACCCATAGGGTTAGCTGGATACATGTCCAAAGTTAGGTTTGAGGGAATGCCTGTTCAAGTAGAAAATCAGAGATGAAAAAGACTGTTAAAAAACCCAGGCCCTTTCGAAGCTGGTGCCAGAGCATTCCTTCAGTGAAGGCTAGAGCTGCCAGCAACAGAAGACTTTAACAATGTGCCTGCCTTCCACTTTGTTTGGAAGATGGGGCTGTCTCTTCAGATTTCATTTTTCTTTTTGTAAATCCTCTCCATAGAAATTCATTTGGCCAACACCATTCTATTCACTTTGGCTGACTCTTTGGGCTATAGAAATCCCATGAAATAAGCTATTTTCAAAGAATCAATATACATATGCAAATAACATTCAAAGTATTTCATGAACCCAGCCAACCCAGCAATGTGCCTGTATTTGAGGCAATGGGATTTTGCAGGACGGAGCACCCATATGGACGTCACAGAATATATACTTAATACATAAATACACTTAATGCACTTATTCTTAATTAAAGGCTATGCTATTTACATTTGTTAATGTTTTAGTGACCACTGCTTAATATATGCGTTCTGTGTGCCAAGCACTATGGAAAATGCTTTATAAAACTGATGATAGCAAATTCATAAAACTGGTACTGTCATCTCTATTTTTTCTTTGTATGTGTGTGTCTATGTGCTCGTGTGTGTATGTGTGTGTTTGTGTGTGTGTGTGTGAGAGAGAGAGAGAGAGAGAGAGAGAGAGAGAGAGAGAAAGTTGATATCAGGTGTCTTCCTCAGTTACTCTCCACTTTTTGTTTGTTTGGTTTTGGTTTTTTGGAACAGGGTCTCCCTATAGCCGCTGCTGACCTAGAACTTACTATGTAGACCAGGCTGTCATTGGTCTCATGAGATATGCTTCCCTCTGCCTCCTGAGTGCTGGGATTAAATGTGTGTGCCACTGCCCCTAAGCCATTTCATTTTTTGAAACAGTGTTTCTCGCTGAGCCAGGAGCTCAGATATTCAGCTGGGCTGGTTGGGTTGCAAGTGCTAGGGAATCTTCCTATCTCTGTGTCCCCAGTGCTGGGACTACAGATGCATGCTGTGGTATTCAGCTTTTTATGTGGGTGCTAGGGATCTGAACTCAGGCCCTCATGCTTGCACAGCAAGAACTCTACTGAACCATCTTCCGAGCCTTCATCTCTATTTTAGGATTTAAAGTTTAATAAGGAAGAATAGAAAGGCTGAGGTCACACGGCCTCCTTAAATGACATTTTAGTTACTTACTTGTGCCACAACCTTATGCCTTTTACTTCACCACCCTTTGCTGAGTTTTTCTGTCTAAAATGAGTGATAGTGCCCTCCTCATAAATGGAGCTGAAGAATACATGTCTTAGCAATGCGCAAATTGATTAGATCAATGCCTGTCATAGAGTAAGCCTTGGAATAGAATCAGTATTGACAACATAGCAAAGAAGTTTGTTCAAGGTTAGAAAATGGGATCTAAATGTAAAACCCAGTTGATTTTATTTTAAAACTTGTCTGATTATTAACAAATAGAATCTACATGCTTGATTGGAATACCTAATCTCTCTAAGCCTCAGTTTTTCTTATTAGTAAAATGGAGATTAATACAGCCCTAGCTCCTGCACAGCTACCATGCCAAATGCTGTTGCAGAGCCCAGCTCAGCATGGCGGTTAAGACAGCAATGTGGTGCCTCTCTCTACAGCCACACCTCTGGAATATGTGTGTATGTGTACACACATATATATGTATTTGTGTTATATGTATATATATATATATATATGTTTATAATGTATAGCCTAGAACTTATTCTTAAATGTTTTTCATAGCATTAGAACTGAAAATAGTTCAAAATATATTTACCTCCCACTTAAAAAGAAGAATTGCATTGGTTTACTAGATAATTAAAACAGTTTCCTTCCTAATAAAGTTACTTTATATTTAATATTTTGATGGGTGCAAGCATGCCCCCCCACTTTCTTTAAAATAGTTCATTAAATGTTTCAAAGTTGCCTAACTAGTTCTTTCATGAATACAGATTGGCCAGAATTCCAATTGTATCACAGAGGAAAGAGAAGAGACATAGTTACAACTTTGCAGAGGGAAACGTGATGATATGTTTTTGCTGTTGTGCCTACTTTTTTTTTTTTTTTTTTGGAGTGTGTGGGAAAGGGTGTGATGTCATCTTGTCTCCACCCCCAGTGAGTAAGCCCAGAGCAGAGCTCAGTGCAGCCGCCCGCCTCTGTTAGAGGGAGACATCCACTTAAATGCAGCTCCAGGGCTGCGAGACACCCACCAGCATCACTCCCTGTGTGAGCAGGCAAATGCAACATGCTCTCCAGCCTGGGGTGTCTTCTTCTCTGTGGGAGTGTTGCCCTTGCCCTGGGAAATGCACAGAAATTGCCAAAAGGCAAGTAAATCTGATGTTTTGTGTTTTAACAATAATATTGAGATGTTTGCTTTTAACTGTTGGTATTAAATATGATCTGCTTTATGATATGGGGGAACTGAGTTAGTCTGCAGAAAGTTAGAAGTTCATATGTGTGCAGGGGTCACTGAAACTTTATCCTTTGGCTCCCTGTTATTTACTTTCCAGCTGGAGCTCTTTCTAACAACTTCTTACTATGTTCACAAGAATTTAAGTGATGTAATTTCAAACTACAGTATTTGTGAATCAAATCAGATTATATAAAGGAGTATTGCAGTTTGCTAAAGAGTTATTTGGTGCTTTTATCCCTCTCCACAGAGACTAAACTAGGACTAGTTTAAGCTTTGGGAGAAGCTAATTCTGAGAGCTGGAATTGTGTCATAAATCTCAGGCATACCTGCTAAGTAGGACCTGAGCAGACCTAAGCACAGCCATGAGCTAAGTAGCAGACACGTCTCTCCAGAGGAGTTTGGAAGAGGGTTTGATTTGCTGGACAGGACACTCCCCCTTCTCCTGCCTAAGACATTTATTTTAGTGTTGGTATTTTGTTTACAAAAGCTATCAAAAGAAAATTAAAATTTCTAAATATAGACCCCCCCCCAAAAAAAACCTTTGGGGCTCATTAGCACTAAATCAGGAGACTCTTGCCTTGTCCTGCCTTTGAGCATAAATGTGGCATGTACTTTTGTTTCTTTACAGAGGCACTTTTCTAAGCCAACTCTAGGTCTGTGAAGGCTTTTTATAACTGCAGACTGCTGTAGTCAGCAGGATTATGAAAAACAGGCTGGAATTTACCATACAGTTATGATGGAAAATATTGGAGGTAAATCAGAGGCACAGACTCTTCACAACCCTAGCATGCTCAGAGTCAGAAAGAAAAGTTGTTAGAGTCCAAATATTGGAAAGGACACGTCTATGTGCTCTCTCTGCAGAGTTCAGTTTAGGATCATCTTGTCTCGAGTGAAAAGTGTCCTTTTCTCACTATGTAAAGTGAAACGTGAATCCAAAATGTGAATGCTGATGATGTGAACAGCAGCAAAAAGGCTAAGGAAACCTCACTCTGATCAAATAATAATGCAAAGAAAAAGAAAGAAAAGAAGCAGACACTGTTGATTTTTCTTCTATCAACAGTTTTGTTCCTCTATTGTAACAAACTGTCATTTAAATAAGTTGTGAATCACAATCACCCAGAATTAATTATTCATATTGATGAAATATTTAACAACATTCCATTTGAGAGGAGTTTGGGGTTATTTAGACTCAATACTTAGAGTTGTTTTTATTTTACTCTATGTCCTGTGAAGAGATGATAGACAAAATTTGGTTACTGAAGACCTGCAAATTCTCAGTGCCTTAATCCTCTTGTTGCAGTTACTAGCTGGAGATATCTTCACACAAGTTGCCTTTATTTGTAATGAAGAAAGAAAAATTTATAGTTGTCAATAATTGGCAAAAATCTTTTGTACAGTTTATTTCCCTTTGATGTGTTTTTGTTCAGATTTCTTTTTAAAACTGTAGTTTTGCTAATTTGAACAAAACATCACATTACAACTATTATAAAATAAATTTGGTAAGACCCTTTGTTTTTGTTGTTATATTATTATATTATTTTATGTATTTTGTAATATATTTTCTTTATTATAGAAGAAATTGAAAAAAAATTCTTTAAGCTGGTCACCTTTCTCAAAGTGTATTTCAGGAGTAGATGTGCTGTCCTACAGTTGATGGGGTGTGTTGGCAGGGGGCACAAATGATTTTTGTCAATCACTTCTAGAGCCTTTTATGCTTGTCATTGTGTGGAGGGATTCACAATAGATACTATCATTTTAAATGTTCTAAATATTTATCAGTGAAGAAACTTAATGAACTTTTAACCCATTGTTCACCAAACTTATTTGAATGAAAATCCCCTTTTTAGTAGAACAAATTAAAAATCTTTCTAGAGGCTTGTTTGCCATAAAAAAAATTGAAAAAGTGCTAGGATACGTTCTTCTTTACAATTTTAGAGATAAATACTTAAATCTGTCATTTAAGAAGAACAGAGAATCTAAGAGCTGAAGATTAATGACCATTGAATCCAGTAGCTCCCAGATCTTTGCATTTGTGGGCCAGTGAAAGGATGCACATCTCAGGGCTCTATTTGTAGTTATAGTTCAATTTTCCATGTGCGGGTGCTCCAAATGAGGGAAAGTCCTGTTCAGAAAAGCAAACCATTTTCCTAAATTTTTTTAAAAAGTGAGTTTGATTAGGCAAATAAGCCAGTCAGTTGTCCATCTTTTTCTCATTTTATTGCAGATTGATCTAAAACTTCACCACAGGCCAATATTTGGAAATTACTGACCTAACAACCATTTATTTTTATAAATTAAGACATTCAAGATAGGGGAGATTTACTAACATTCTCATGTTAATGGCAGAGTCAGGACCAAATACCAAGCCTCTGATATAAAATTCATGTTATGTCTATTTTACTGCCTGCCAGGTAAGCAGAATCCTCTGACCCAAACCCTAGGAATCATGGTCTGCACTTTTCATGGGAATGGTACCTTTCCCTGGAATGTATTAGTCCTCATACAGTTAGAGAAATGAGACCACAACACTCTTTTTTTAAAAAAAAAATATTATATTGGGCTAGAAAGATGGCTCTGGGGTTAAGAGCACTGGCTGCTCTTGCAGAGGACTCGGGTTCAATTCCCAGCACCCACATGATGGCTAACAACCATCTGTATCTCCAGTATGAGGGGATTTGACACCTTCTTCTGACCTCCCTGGGCATTGCACAACACAGGTGTACTTACATACATGCAAGCAAAACACTCATATACATAAAATAAAAAATATATAATAAAATTAAAAAGGAAATTATAAGAAGTATTTTTTTAATTATTTTTATGTGTATGAGCATATTGTCTGCATGTATGTAAGTGCACATGTGTTGTCCAATGCCCACAGAGGTCAGAAGAGAGTGTCAGATCCCCTGGAATAACTGGAGTTACAGACAGTTGTTAGCTACCATGTTTGTACTGGGAACTGAACTCAGGTCCTCTGCAGGGTCAGCCAGTGCTCTCCAGCCCCATGGCCACATCACTCTTAAAGATCACCTTGATATATTTCCTAAGAACATATCAACATTTTGTATACATACTTTACACACATATTTTTATTTGGTTATTTATAAGAAATCACTTGTTACATGTCATATACCTGTTTGCAAACCCAGACATATACCTTACTCTAAAAATTAGTTGCTAGCCGGGTGTGGTAGCCCACGCCTGTAGTCCCAGCACTTGGGAGGCAGAGGCAGGCAGATCTCTGTGAGTTCAAGGCCAGCCTGGTCTCCATAGTGAGTTCCAGGACAGCTGATGCTACAGGGAGACCCTGTCTCAATAAAAGGCAAACAAAACAAAAACAAAACAAAAAAAAAACAAAACAAAAAAAACTTAGTTGCTAGAAAAATTTTTGCCTGCTTTTTAAAAGTTTAAATTTAAGCCGGGTGTATTGGTGTCTTTAATTCCAGCACTTGGGAGGCAGAGGCAGATGGATCTCTGTCAGATCAAGACCAGCCTGGTCTACATAGTGAGTTCCAGACAGAGAGACCATGTCTCAAAAAGATCAAAAATAAATAAATAAATGAATAAATATAAATAAAACAAAATGTTTAATTTAAAAACTACTATTGATGTATTTTTTTTTCCTCCTTATCACAAATCTATGAGTATTTTTGGACAACTTATTTACCGTTGTTAGTTTTCTCATCTGAAATACAGGAATAATGCTATCTATCCCACAACATTTTAGGGTTAAATGAGATAAAATACAAAACTTTTAGTGGAACATTTGACATATAACAGGCATTCAATAAATACCTATTGGACTATACAAAAATGGTCCTTGTGTCCAAACTAATAGCAACAAACGGTAAGGCATGTATTCCTAGTGGAAAAATGATAATGTGGTCAAATGCTGTTCCATATGACAACAGTGGGGAAAGGCATCTACCACCTTGGGTCCTGACCATCCTTGGCTCACAGGGCACACGTGACTTTCCAGGGGAAGCAGTGCCTTTCTCCTGGGATCAGCCTCTGCATGGGACTTGGGAATACCCTATGATACTCCTGGGTGAAATCTACTTGCACATATTTTTCAGGAGGAAAATTAGATCATAACATGCATGCACTAGAGAAGAATTACCACATTTTTTTATGCCTTTGGAAGCACCTGTGCTACAGCTTCCTCTGGGAGTCTTTGTTTTGGCACTATAGAATCCTCTTCTCTCTTGGTATGTGTGCTAAAATAAAACCCGTAAAGGACAGCATGGTGTGAAGGGAACCAACAAAATCAGAGGACATCTGAGACCTGACAAATCTCTGCGCTGAAACTCTTGTGTGTGGAAGCTGGAGCTAGCATCAAGGTGGTATCTTTACTAGGCAGGTCTGTCACTCCTCCCCTTGAAGTGTGCGTGAGGAAAACCGAAGAAGGCCCAAGATATCAGGGTAATCATGTGGCCAGAGGACATGGGAGTCTTGGGCATGTGACAGAGGGAGTGAACAGTTGGCCCTTTGCCTTGAGCTCTTACATAAGAGGGGAGAAATCCTTAATAAAAAGAATACAGACGGGCTGGAGCAATGGTTCCGCAGTTAAGAGCATGCACTGATCTTGCAGAGGACTGGAGTTCAGTTCCTAGCGCTCATGCAGGGCAGCTCACAACTTCCTGTAACTCCAGCTGCAGGGGATCTTGAGCTCTTTTCTGACTTCCACAGGTACCTGCACACATGTACAAAAACACACAGACACACAAGCTCTTGATTAAAAATAAAATCTTTAAAAAAGTATACAGACAGATGGTGTCAGTAACCATCAGAGGTATTAACTACAACCTGTTTTTGTAATAACATAGGTAATACTGAGTGCATAATGTGGTAGTTTAGTGCTACATATTTTAATGCAGAAAATTTAATTAAATTCTCAAAGCCTTTGTATGA